TCAAACTGCATTATTTTTTGCAGTGCAGATTCACCCAAGAGGTGCACCCAGCTCTTTGGAATCCAGATGCTATTGCAAATTTTGTTGCAATAAATTCCTACTAGAGAAACATTTTACAATATTGTATAGGAGAAACCTTACCATGGTTTCCTGGTATATTGCAGCACTCTCTGTCCTGGAAAAAAATTGAATCAGCTGATTGCTTTCCTCCAGCCAATCACTGAAGGGCTTCCAAGGATCAGCTGACCTCTGAAAAGGCAGTCAGCTGACAGTTAACCCTTTCATTGCTGGAGCCTGAATTTTTCTCCCAGAAAAAGTCTTGCACTAACTGCAAATGTGCAAAAAGATTTCAGGGTTGTTGTTTCCCCCCGTCCTTCTTTCCCCTGGCAGTTATACAGGATCACTGATCTTTTCAGGCTCTCTTTAATGTGTAGGTTTACCTGGTGCTTTATAATTTTATTTTTGGAAAGAGGAGAGCAAGTTTATTAATTGGAAAAAAAATGCTGGCTTGTGGATTCTGGGAGTTGTAGTCCAAAAGGAACCATCACCACTTCACCTCTGCAATATGTGTGCACTTATGTATATTTGAAATATAACTTTTGGGGTTTTATATACACACACACACACATTATGGGATGTAAAAAATGCTGCTTGTGGATTCTGGAAATTGTAGTGTAAAAAGAACCATCACAATCCCCCACCACCACCTCTGCAATATATATGTGTGCGTGTACATATCTATATTTGAAATATAACTTTTGGAGTGATACACACACACACATACACATATATATATGGTGTCAAAAATGCTGTCTTGTGGATTCCGGAAGTTGTAGTGCAAAAAGAACCATCACACACACAACCCACCTCTGCAATATATATGTGTGTGCGCACATATCTATATTTGAAATATAACTTTTCGGGTGATACACGGACATATGGTGTCAAAAATGCTGTCTTGTGGATTCTGGGAGTTGTAGTGCAAAAAGAACCATCACCATCCCACTTCTGCAATGTGTGTGTTGTGTGTGCTTATCTCTATATTAACTATAACTTTTGGGGTGATACACACATATATATTTATATATACAGACACACACACTGTATGTATATATGGTGTCAAAAATGCTGGCGTGTGGATTCTGGGAGCTGATTTGGGGAATTGTAGTGGATAAAAAACCTTCACCATGCTAGTGCTGCAATCTCTGTGTGTTTATATTTGGACTAACTTTTAAGTGATGTGTTGTGTCTCAATATATATATATGATGTCAAAAATGCTGTTTTGTGGATTCCAGGAATTCTAGTGCAAAAGGAACCATCACTCCCCCAACTCTGCAGTATGTGTTTGTGTATATATATCTGTCTCTATATTTGGAATATAACTTTGGGGACGTTGTGTGTGTGTGTGCATGCACAGACAATGTAAAAAAATGCTAGCTTGCAGATTCTGGGAATTGTAGTGCAAAAAGAACCATCACCACTCCAGCTCTGCAATGTGTGTTTGTGTATATATATATATCTTGTCTCTATATTTGGACTATAACTCTGGGGACTATATGTGTGTGTGTAGACAATGTAAAAAATGCTGGCTTGTGGATTCTGGGAAATGTAGTGCAAAAAAACCCCCATCATTTTGGGATCATTATATATATATATATATATATATATATATATATATATATAAACACTGTCAAATGTTTCTCTTTCATTCCTTACTCAGAGAAACGTAATGAAAGGGAATCACATGCATCACCTTGGCTGCATCTACAATGCAGTTTAACACCCCTTTAACTGCCATGGCTCAATGCTATGGGACCCTAGGATCTGTAGTTTGTTGGGCCACCAGAGCCACGGCAGTCAAAGCAATGTCAACCTGCATGATTTCTGCAGTGCAGATGTAGCCTAGCTTTGCTCTTAGTTGATCTAAGAGCAAATATCTGGACCGACTCTCCTTCCACCCAGAGCATCTTCCATGTTGTGCCTCTTCCACCGCAGTTAAGCAAACAAGCCAAATTAATGTCTTCATTTATTTTTTATATATGTATATATTGGTAACTCCAGGATATATAGTTCCACAACTTCTTAGGAAGACCTAGGATGCTTCTTCCTAGCACAGAGGATCGCTAGAGTCGTGAGAGCCAGGATCGTGGCAAGAGCCATCAGGATGAATCCCACCAACATACCAGGGGCTTGAAACAAATCTGTGAAGAGAAAGACTGGAGTTAATTTTGAATTAAGATTACCACCCTAAACCCACAAAGATGGGATTGACACCAATGGAGTTTCCCTGTCCTCTGTTAGTAATCCAGGTATCCCTTCCCATTTAGGCTCCTTAGTTACTTATGCAACTTCCAACCTTTGTCACATATCCATCTCCCAGCACTGGGACAATATTCCTATTTCACTGCCAGATTTCCAAGTTCCTTCCTCCATCATCACAAAGCTTTGAGAAGTTTCTTTTGGGGAATGGCTATACTGGTTGAGAAATTCTGGCAGGGAAGGTTCAAAAAGGGTATTTCCCCAAACTCTGCTTTCTACTTTGCTTAAAAGTCTTGCAGTGTCCTTTCTTTATGAGTTGAGTCTCTCTGATCCAGAATTCCAAAATCTGAAATAATCCAAAAGCCAA